AGATGCTCAGCAAAACAGTCACCTAGCCTATGTTTGGTCTCACTGAGGTAGAGAAGACCACATCGGGAGCACTGAATGCAATAGACTAGGTTGGAAGAAATGCAGGTGAAGCTCTGTCTCACTTGGAAAGACTGTTTAGGGCCCTGAATGGAGTTGAAGGAGGTGGTTTGTGGGCAGGTGTTGCATCTTTTACGGTTACAGGGGAAGATACTGGGTGGGTTGGAGTGGTTGGTGGGGAGTGTGCCACACACTGAGGAGTGGTGAAGGAAATGCTCCTTGCGGAAGGCAGAGAGGGGTGGGGAGTGCAAGATGTTCTGGGTTGAGGGGTCTGATTGAAGTTGGCAGAAGTGTTTGAGGATGATACATTGGATACAGAGGCTGGTGGGGTGGAAAGTGAGGACAAGGGGGACCCTATTTTGATTATGTTTGGAGGTGGGCGGGGTGTGGTTAAGAGCTGTGGAGAGGGGAATGGAGGCAGCATGGTGGAGGGCTGTCTGGATGACAGGGGGAAAAAGAGCATTGTTTGAAAAAGGTCATATCAGCTACCATTGTCAACCTATCACCACCATTCTGCTACCACCCTTCCCCCCTCTTTATCTGTAGCTCACCCTTCCCCATATCCAGTTCTGAAGAAGGGTAATACCCAAAACATTAACTGCTCCTTTCCTCCAGATGCTGCCTAGCTTGCTGTGTTCTTCCATCCTCTTGTTTGTCTACCTCATGCTTAGAAAGACCGGATGACAATCTAATCCTGTGAAGTCACAGCTGCCCTGAAGTTTTACGCCAATGTCTTGTTTCAAGAATGAATTGGGGATCTATGTGGCATTTTCCAATCCTTGACCCATAACTACATTCAGAATGTAGTGAAAGCCATTTTCTGCAGATCACAGCTGTTCATACATTTTCCTTGTGATAAGAAGAGTCATACAGCTTGGGCAATGTGATTCTGCATCATTGTTGGCTTACCCCAGGTACAAGGTGCTATTGACTACACACATGTTGAGAATGCCCTTTCAAAAACTTGCAGAGTTCATCAACAGAAAACACTTCTGCCGCGTCAATGTTTATAAATGCCAAATTCTGGAGGCCTGCACAAAATATTATACTAGAAATCTCATAGGCTCCTTTCTCCTTCCAAGGTCCCCAGGATAGACAGGGATGTCTGCTGGGAGATGAGGTGTACCCCTCCCAAATGTGACTCATGACACCTTCACGAAATCCTGAGACTTACTCAGAACAAAGGTACAAAGCTGTTCACACTTGAACCAGGAACATAGTGCAACAGACCACAGGCCTACTTAAGATGTGTTTTGATGTCTGAACTGCTTGGACAGCACCTTACAATATAACCCCAAAATGTGTATCAACATTGTGGCATACTGTGTCCATCATACTTGGAGCCAACAGAGGGGAATATCCTAAATGCCAATGAAATGGAGGAACAACTTTTGAGGAAGAAGGTGAGGTTGAAGGTCAGGACATTGACCAGGAAGACCAAAATAACATACAGAGCAATATATCGTTGAGCCTGAAAACCAGAGATAATCTATTTGAAACCAGCTTCCAGGATGAATGAGTTTGTTTTGGACTTTGTTTAATTGCTTAAGCTTCGGTTGGTAAGCGCAGAGGATATAGAAACTTCTTGTTTTTGCAGTCTTCGACATTTTGCGTTGCTGAATAGATTCATAATAGCCAGCGGGTTGAGAGGAATACTGAGTAATCGCCTTTCGATCCTTCCGTAATTGATAACGCTTCAATATTTCACAGTGCACAGAAACTGCTAAGTTTCCCTGAAATGCTTGAGCATCCAGTGGGACAGCATTGAACCTGTAAGAAGTAATGCACTGTACACCTTTTCTCAGCAGACCAATGTGCTTTGAGACAAAGTAATTTACATCTTTCAGTCTTGGATAGTAATACAGTTCATTGAAAAGCTAATGAATAGAAGGACTGTTTGCCTCCTGAGAGAATCATCACCGATTTGTTCTTGAACACTTTGGTAATTCTGGACTTCTAGCCCTAGAAATTTATTTGGGGGTAACGTAGGAAGTTATGTTCAGAGCTTTCTGCCCCTCAACAGTTCTGACACTGCCAACTCACATTGCAGAGGAGTCGACCTAAGAGTATGGTTTGAAAGCCCTAGTTTCTCTTCAACAGTATTTTGATCATTAGGGTGCCATGTTGGCCTTGCTGTTGGGTTGGGAACGTTTCGGAGAGCTTTTTCGAGATGCTTAGGGTTTTCTCCTCCATGAAATGTATGAAGCGGTTATGGGAATGTTGTGGATTTTATCAGAAGCAACCTGGTCAGGAATGCCGCATGTAGCAAAGATTTCCTTTGAAACCCAAATGACTGTCTCAGTAGTATGTAGACATTTGGCCTCAATCGACTTCCATGACTATGTCTTACACTGTTGAAGCTATGATCTTTCTTTCCTTAAATAAGACAAAAGTACTGCAGATGCTGTAGATCTGAATAAAAACAGAAATTGCTGGTGCAACTCAGCAGGGCTGGTAGCATCTGTCAGAAGAAATCAGAGTTAACGTTTTGAATCAGGTGGTTCTTCATCAAAACTGTTAGTAGCTAGGAAAATATATTGGAAAATGTATTTATGCTGAAGCTGAAGTTGGGGCGGGTGGTGGGGGGAAGGGGAGAGGTGAGTGGATAGGTGGAGATGGACCCCAGAGAGAGAAAGAGACACATGAAAATGGTAGGTAAACAAGGAGGTTATGGATATCTGGTTAGGACAGAAAAAAAGCTGAATAAGTGATAATAAGGGTTAGAAGTAGGTGAGAATAGGTAACTGTGCTAATATGAACCCGTATGGTGACAGGACCAGGAGTGGGGTGGGTAAAAAACATGGAAGAATGGAGTCAAGCTCTAAATTTATTGAACACGATGTTGAATCCTGTAAGCTGTAGGATCCCCAATTAGTAAATTATATGTTGTTCTTTGCGCATGTGCTGAGGCTTGCTGGAGTGCTGTAGCAGGTCTGCAACAGAAATGATGGTCAGGGCACATGGTGGTGTGTTGAAGTGGCAGGTGACGAGAAGCTTGGAGTCATTTTTGTGGACAGAATGTAGGTGTTCTGCAAAGCAGTCACCCTGCCTACGTTTCATCTCCCCAGTGTAGAGTCCACACTGTGAACAGTGAATACATTAGACTAGATTGAATGAAGTACAGGTAAATCATTGCTTCACTGGAAGGTATGTCTGGGACCTTGGATGGTGAGGAGGGAGGAGGTAATCACTTTCTGCGATTGCATGGGAATGTAGCTGAGGATACGGGGAGTTATTGGGAGTGGTGGAGGAGTGTACCAGGGTGTCACTTTATTAACTGCCTTGTGGAAATCCTTTGGGTCATCCACTGCTTGTTTTTTACCTACCCTACTTGTATTTTATTCTCAAAAACCCATAATAAAATTGCTAAAATGTATTTCCTTTTGTAAACCCATATTGGTTCTGCATGATAATGCAAGAGCATTCAACTGCATTGTTAAGACTTTTTAAGTAATAGATTCCATTATTTTTTATGACAACTGACGTCAGTCATACCAGTCTGTAGTTGCCTGGTTTCTCTCCCTTTTCCATTTGTTGGATAGTGGCATTATAAAAAGTACCTGGAATTAGGAGTTTAATGATGACTATGAATCCATTGTTGATTGTTGGAAAAGCCTATCTGATTCACCAATGTCCTTCAGGGAAGGAAACTGCCATCCTTACCTGGTCTGGCCTACATGTGACTGCAGACCCACAGCAATGTGATTGACTCTTAACTGCATTATGGACAATTAGGGGTGGACAATAAATGCTGGCCTAGCCAGTGACACCCTCATCTCATGAATTAATAAAGCATAATTGTTGACTTCCAATCTTTTGAAATTGTTCAAGACCCTAGGGAATTTTGGAAAATCATGATCACTGTGTTCACTATCCCTTTTGTTGTTTCATTTAGAATACTAGGACAGAAGTCTTCATGCTGTTAGAATTTGTTGGCTTTTAATCCCTTTAGGTTCTTTGTCTGCCACCCTTACTTAGTGCCGTAGTGGTCTGGAGCACAGGAAGAGCTCCTTTGGCCAATTGAGTCTGCGCTAGTCAAAAAAAAGGACCTAACTTTTCTAATCCCATTTTTCAGTACGTGGCTCATAATCTTGTATGCCTTGTCCTTGCAAGTAGACATCTAAATACTTCTTAAATGTTATGAAGGCTTCTGCCACTACTACCCTTATAGGCAACGAGTTTCGGATTTACTGGGTGAAAACATTTTTCCTTGCATTCCTTCTAAACGTCCTGCCCCTTACCTTAAATCTATGCCCTCTGATCATTGAACCCTCCACAAAGGGAAAATGTTCCTTCCTGTCCATCCTACCTACGCCCCTCATAATTTTATATATCTCAATTAATGACCTCTCAATCTCTTCTGCTCCAAGGAAAACAACCCCAGTCTAGGGGCAACATGGTGGCTCAGTGGTTAGCGCTGCTGACTCACAGCACCAGGGACCCAGGTTCGATTCCAGCCTTGGGTAACTGTCTGTGTGGAGTTTGCACTTTCTCCCTTTGTCTGCGTGGGTTGCTGCTAGCTGCTTTGGTTTCCTCCCATAGTCCAAAGATGTGTAGATTAGATGGATTGGCCGTGCTAAAACACAACATTTTGCCTTTTCACAGCCATTGGCAGTCACCTGCCCCTGATGCTGTTGGATTTTCTATCCCAAAACCCCTCCACAATTTCATCTTTCTCTAATTGCTTTCCTCCCAAAATCCACATTTCTAACCAAATGTTTGCTTCTATCTTCTTTGTTTAATGTTCATTTTTCATCTTCAACTTCTATGTAGTGGCTTGGATGCTTTTTCTACATTAAGATCTGTATAAATAGACAGGCACAAAACAATTGAATCTCCTGTTAAAGCTATCTTGTAATTTTGTGATCAGTATTAAATAATTTTGAGTGCTCAGTTGTCTGATTTTACTTAATGTATTTGTTTTAATCATTATTATTTGGCAGGCAACGACTTCCTTCAAAAAATGTCTATTACTACCGCTGTCCAGATCATCGTAAAAACTACGTAATGTCATTTGCCTTTTGCTTCGATCGGGATAATGAGGTTTACCAGTTTGCTTACTGTTATCCTTACACCTATACTCGCCTGCAACATTACCTAGATAACCTGGAGAGAAGGAATATGGATTACTTCAAAAGAGATTTGCTTGGTCTAAGTGTGGTAAGCATTTTACAAATGTGCAAATATCAGAACTCAAACAAAGCTTGGTGCTCTTTAATGCTTAGCTTCAGCCTTAAATACTCCTTGTAACATAATAATGCATCTGAAGAAATAGGATAGTTAGTATTTTTGATACTTTTTTTTGTGCTTTAACTTTTGTTTTTAATCCAATATTCGAAATACCTGATTGAAAATATTTATATTCTCCGTATTTTTATATATTTTTAACTTCCTCACAACGTTACTACGATATTGTTGATAATGATCAAAAGAAATTATTTCCTTAATTGGGTACAAACAAATATCTACATATGATGCTAACAATGTTTTGTAACAATTCCATGCATGTACTTTAATTGAAAACAGTCGGAGAGCAAGGAAACCAGTAACATGCACTTTTCTGAATATATGTGCATACCTGTTAAGATACATATGGAAGTAAAGTACAAATATCAGCACTCTTTGCTGTCATTTTGGATTGACAACTAATTATTTATTTATATCTTCTTGCGCACATCAGGGTTGACTTTTGTCTAAATTTCTCAGAATGAGTGGAGAAGTAATGAGTTTGGAAGAAGAAATACAGGGCAGATGGATGTGTGTAAGATAAGTGATGCTGAAAGGAAAGTTTTATGTTGTTGGGAAACTGAGACAAGTTATTAAACCTACACGCACTGGAGACATTGCATCCAATATAACCCCAGTCAAATGTCTTTGCGGGGTAATTACCGTTTCTGTTGGAGAAGATTTAAACTAATTTGGCAGATAATGTTGATTGGAGTTAAGAAACAATAGATATGCTATTACAACAGTGAATAGATATGGAGAAGCAAATTTGCAAGGGGATTGCAGAGCAGTGCAATAACTAGAGGAATGACAATAGAGTATTTTAATTCTCCTAATACTACTGTAAAGATTAGAGATGGAAGAGTTTTTGAAGTATGTTCAGGGGAGGTTTCTTAATCAGGATGTTTCCAGCCCACTGAGCAAAGAGGAATTGCTGGATTTAAATCTGTGGATTGAGGTGGGTCAGGTGAATCAAATAAGGTAGGAAAAATTTCAAAAACAGGATTATAGTATCAGAAGGTTTAAACTGGCTATGAATGGGATGAGAAAATGTCTAAAATAACTTATTTAATTAGAGAAGGGTGAATTTTAGTGTGTTGAGACAAAATCTGTCTGGGGTAAATTGGAAGTAATGATCAGTGGACAGAACAGTACAGGACAATGGGCTGCTCCTAAAGAGGAGCTGGTTTGGGCAGAGGTGAGGTACATCCCTAAAGGGAAAAGCACTGATCCCTGTGGCATTCTACAAGTAATAGCCTACCAAGCTGAGAATGACCATTTTCTGAACTCTGCTATTAAGAAGCCAGTCATGGCGATGGCCTACTGGTATTATTGCTGGACTATTAATGCAGAAACCCAGCTAATGTTCTGGGAATCTGGGTATGAATCCCACCACAGCAGATGGTGGAATGGTGGAATTTGAATTCAATAATTTTAAAAAATGTCTGGAATGAAAGATCTACTGAAAACCATGAAATGATTGCTGATTGTCAGAAAAACCCACCTGGTTCTTGAAAGTCCTTCAGGAGAGGAAATATGCCACCCTCACCTGGTCTGGCCTACATGTGACTCCAGACCCACAGCAATGTGGTTGACACTCAATTGCCCTCTGGAATGGCCTAGCAAGCCACTCAGTTGTACCAATCGCTACAAGTCTCAAAGAAACGAAACCGGACGGATCACTTGGCATCGACCTAGGCACCGGAAAAGACAATGGTGGAAACAGCACTGTCGACTCTGCAAAGTCCCCCTCACTAACATTTGGGGGCTAGTGCCGAAATTGGGAGAGCTGTCTCACAGACTAGTTAAGCAACAACCTGACTTAGTCATACTCACAGAATCATACCTGACAGACAATGTCCCAGACACCACCATCACCGTTCCTGGATATTTCCTGCCCCACCGGCAGGACAGACCCAGCAGAGGGGGCGGCACAGTGGTATACAGTTGGGAGGATGATGCTGTAAGAGTCCTCAACATTGTCTCTAGACCCCACGAAGTCTCATGGCTTCAGGTTAAACATGGGCAAGAAAACCTGCTGCTGATTACCACATACCATCCTCCCTCAGCTAATGAAACAGTACTCCTCCATGTTGAACAACACTTAGAGGAAGGGCACAAAATGTACTCTGGTTGGGGGATTTCAATGTCCACCACCAAGAGTGGCTCAGCAGCAATACTAGAGATTGAGCCAGTTGGGTCCTAAAGGACATAGCAGTGAGACTAGGTCTGCGCCAGGTGGTGAGGGAACCAACAAGAGGGAAAAACATACTTCACCTCATCCTAACCAATCTGCCAGCTGTAGTTGCATCCGTCCATGACAGTATCGGTAAGAGTGACCATCGCACAGTCCTTGTGGAGACAAAGTCCCACCTTCATATTGAGAATAACTTCCATCATGTTGTGTGGCACTATCACCATGCTAAATGGGACAGACTTCGCACCGATCTAGCAACTCAGGACTGGGCATCCATGAGGTGCTGTGGGCCATCAACAGCAGCAGAATTGTACGCCAACACAATCTGTAACCTCATGGCCTGACACATTCCCCATTCAACCATTACCATCAAGCAAGGGGATCAACCCTGGTTCAATGGAGAGTGCAGGAGGCCATGCCAGGAGCGGCAACAGGCATACCTGAAGATGAGATAACAACCTGATGAAGCCACCAAACAGGACTACTTGCACACCAAACAGCGAAAGTAGCAAGTGATAGACAGAGCTAAGTGATTCCACAAGCAATGGATCAGTTCTGAGCTGTGTAGTCCTGCCACATCTAGTTGTGAATGGTGATGGACAATTTAACGACTCACTGGAGGGGGAGACTCCACAAATATCCCCATCCTCAATGATGGAAGAGCCCAGCACAACAGTGCAAAAGCTAAGGCTGAAGCATTTGCAGCAATCTTCTTCGTGTGGCACTATCACCAGCATTACAGATACCAGTCTTCAGCCAGTTCAATTCACTCCACATGACATCAAGAAACGATTGGAGACACTAGGTTCTGCAAAGGCTACCGTCCCTGACAACATTCTGGCAATAGTAATGAAGACTTGTACTCCGGAACTTGCCACTCCCCTAGCCAAGCTGTACCAGTACAGTAACAACACTGGTATTTACCCAGCAATGTGGAAAATTGTCCAGTTACATCTGTACACAAAAAGCAGGACAAATCCAATCCAGCCATTTACCGCCCCATCAGTCTACTCTCAATCATCAGTAAAGTAATGGAAGGTGTCATCAACAGTGCGATTAAGCGGCACCTGCTCAACAATAACCTGCTCAGTTTGGGTTCCACCAGGGCCACTCAGCTTCTGACCTCATTACAGATTTGGCTGAAACATGGACAAAAGAGCTGAATTCCAGAGGTGAAGTGATGGGAGAGTGACAGCCCTTGACATCAAAGCTGCAATCGACCGAGTGTGGCGTCAACGAGCCCTAGCAAAAGTGGAATCAATGGGTATCAGGGGGTTAACTCTCCGGTGGTTAGAGTCATTCCTGACACATGGGAAGATGGCCATGGTTGTTGGAGGTCAATCATCTCAGCTCCAGGATATCTCCTCAGGGTAGTGTCTGCGGCCCAACCATCTTCAGCTGCTTCATCAATGACCTTCCCTCCATCATAAGGTCAGAGGTGGGGATGTTCGCTGATGATTGTACAAAGTTCAGCACCATTCGTGTCTTCTCAGATACTAAAGCAGTCCATGTTCACATGCAACAAGGACTGGACAATATCCAGGCTTGGGCGGACAAGTGGCAAGTGACATTCGCGTCACACAAATGCCAGGCTATGACCATCATCAATAAGAGGCAATCTGACCACCGCCCCTTGACATTCAATTGTGTTACCATCACTGAATCCCCCACTATCAACATCCTGGGGTTACCATTGACCAGAAACTCAAGTGGACTCATCACATAAACACAGTGGCTACAAGAGCAGCTCAGAAGCTAGGAATACTGCACCGAGTAACCCACCTCCTGACTCCCCAAAGCCTGTCCTCTGTCTACAAGGCACAAGTCAGGAGTATGCAGCCCCAATAACACTCAAGAAGCTTGACACCATCCAGGACAAAGCAGCCCGCTTGATTAGCACCACATCCATAAGCATTCACTCCCTCCACCACCGATGCTTAGGTGCAGCAGTGTGTACTAACTACAAAATGCACTGCAGAAATTCACCAAAGATCCTCAGACAGCACCTTCCAAACCCACAACCATTTTCATCTGGAAGGACAAGGGCAGCAGGCATATGGGAACACCACCACCTCCAAGTTCCCCTCCAAGCCACTCACCATCCTGACTTGAAAATATATCGCCGTTCCTTCACTGTCACTAGGTCAAAATCCTGGAATTCCCTCCCTAATGGCATCGTGGGTCAACCTACAGCAGGTGGACTGCAGCAGTTCAAGAAGGCAGCTCACCACTACCTTCTCAAGGGCAACTAGGGATGGGCAAGGAATGCTGGCCAGCCAGTGACGCCCACATCCCATAAATGAATAGAGACAAAAAATTATCTCTGCTAATATGATCCCCAACACCATGGGCTCTGAACAGGTAGTGCTGGAGAAACTCAGTGGGTTTGGTTGGCTGTTTGGTCTCAAAACATGAACTCTGTTTCACTCTTCACAAATACTGCTATGGCTGCTAAGTTTCTCACGAATTTTCTGTTTTTATTTCAGAATTCCAACATTTGCATTATTTTGCTTCTTTGTGTGCTCTTATTATCCACAGTAACCTTTTAGGTGACATTGTTTGGAAATTTGATACATGCAGCAATCATATAACATTCCTTTGTTTTAAAACATTTCTTTTCAATAAAAAGCATATGAGGAAGACAGCGTACATTAGTGGGGTTAAAGATGAAGAAGAATGGGAGGAAGGCTGGCCTGGGGCATGAAGAAAGTATAAGCCAGTTGTGCAGAATGGCTAG